ATATTACCATGCAACCACCGCGTTCACCCACCTTCCATCTCTCAAAATGATTTGGAGAGTACTAACCCTCATCGTCAGCAGCAACATGTTTGTCTACTACTCAAACTGTCCATTTGCATCGATGCCCATAAGGTCATTGTCTGTTTTGTCCTTCACTGCGTTGAAGACCCTCACCTTCACTGCGTCGATAACACAAGATGGCCTTCTTTGTTTCCCACCAGCATCGAAGTTTCTACTCTATAGAGAGATGGAAACTTCTTCTAGACGCATTTTCAATCTACTTCATCTCTTCCATCCGATCTTGACTTCCCCTGTGATACTTCTCATCAACCACATCCCCTCGTGTGCTTCAACCCAGTGGTAACAACACCAAGCCGACATGACCCAACTGGTTGTTCATTGGTTCGCGTGCAATCACTTCTACCCTGAATGGAGGAACACCCCCATACCTCCTTGGGCATCTCCTGGGACTATCCTCCGCCCTACAGCTGCATTACACGGATACGACTGCACTGTTTGTCTTGATCCACCAAGCAAGATCCAAGAGGCACGAAAGTCCGTTCTGATGACCGCCGCTGCCCTCTCAAAGATTATCGACATCCCCGTTAACGATGGCGGATTCATGCACGGGGTCATTCGATTCTATGCCCGAGGTGACCATCTAAGATGGCTACAGCCGCCTACCCCTGATGCTCAGCTTTTGGCACCCGATCCATATTTGCATGCATTGATGATGGAATCGTGGAGGAACACACTGGGCGAGTTGTACTTCTGGACTAGGCCTGGTTATCTCTTCGATGTTGCTCTGGCTGAGGTGAAGCGGTCGGAGCCAGACAACTACGAGCTCCTTAATTGGTCTGGGACGAACTATATGCCAATTTGTCCGTACTATTACGTGTCGATGTCACCAATGGCGCAGCCCGTTGTCAAGCCAGTGCAGAGCTCTAATGATTCGGCACCGAGATCTTCCCTGGGATCACAGGCTTCCTCCAATCTAGTACAGACACCTATTAGAAAACCAGAGTCTAGTGTTGGTTCGACACAGTCTTCTTTCGATACAGCCCGGACTGCTTCTTCAAATCAGAGCCTCTCTTCCCGCGTGAGCCAGAGTCCCTGCCATAAGGATATCATACAGCAGGTAGGTACCCAGAACAATACCACTACGGCTATGCAGAACGTCCAGACCTCCCAGGTGTCTCTGCCCTTTGTGAGGATGGACCCCTCCGTGGCCCTAGATGATCCGTTCGTTGTCGAGCCTATTTCGGTATCCCCAAACTCATATACTCAGATGGTTCCATCACTAACTGTGTGGCAGGGGGAGGGTAGATGGTCAAGGCAAGACGACCATATTGCCGACCTGAAGCGCCAACTCAGACTACCCGGGCCAATGGTGAGGAATGTATCACCAGACCTTGGTTCCCCGACACCTTCAACTCCTGAAAGGATATCTGCGAGAGAAATCAATCGAAAGAGAGATTCGGATAACCCTTACAAACCCACTTCGCTCGCCAATGGTACTTCTGCATCTTGCGATGATGATGAAACTTGGTCTATGGAAGATGCCTCGCAATCGTCTTTCAAGGACGCAGTTAACGCTCGTTCCGAGTCTGCATCTTCCTCCGCTGGCAGCCCCGTAGTGGCTTCGAAGAACGATAACAATCTAAGATCATCTGTGCGCAACACTAGTGATACTCAACCTATCACATGCACAACTGTCGATCCCTCTTTGCTCTTGCTTGAGAATGGCCTCAAGATGTATCCCTCTATTGAACACTCATATGATGTTGCTGCAATCAGACCTCGATCACACTCGCCCGCAGGAAGCCTCCAACATGAGCTCCAAGGTGGCTCCCCAGGTGGCAAGAATGCGGAAGATGCAAACTCGCTAGTCTTCAATATTGGGACGGTGAACGGCTCTAATACGGATCTATTTTCAGCTACTTTGGATCAGTATACTGTAGAGCAGCTGGCCGCACGGCAACTCACAAAAACTCCAGATTTAGAAAGCAACCCGAACGAATATGGCTTTGGGTTTGGTTTTGAACACAATTTATTTGATGGATTCAACTTTTTGCTGCCCGAAGAACAAACTGAAATACCTTTGGAATCGAATATGATGATCTGAAAGGAATGATGGTTTGTGCAGCAAATGAGAGGAATGAGGCCTTGTCCTTCGACTCATGATTTCATGATATCTATGCTTCCCTTTGGATTCATTTGCATTCGCTTCAAGTCTGTTTTTCATGCTTGATCGAAATTTTCTCCATTTCTTCATTCGCATATGTACACATAGCTCTTTTTCGTCCATACTTTTTCCTTTCTAATTATCTGCTGGGGTTATTTCGGATATCGGGTCATTGCTTCCTGAGGGATACGGAGTGAATGGCAAGAAGGGGGTCGTTAGTTTCGGTCTTATTGACGTGATCGATTTATCGCATTTACGGGGTTTTCTGATTCCTAGCAAGACAATTGCACTTTAAGAGCTTGTCCTATAACATCTAATACTAGTCATGTGATCTACAACTACCCCAGAACCACGTGCCGACGGCAAGCTGAATCGGCTTATGCGGGCACTGCATAATTACAGGGAGTAAGCAGCATAAAAATGGGGCCGAGGAAGAGAGATTGTAGTCTACCCCGGGCAGTTCCGTACCATACCGTAAGGGAAACGATTGGTTGCTCCTGGCAGAAAAAGCAACCCGCGGTACCAATAAACAGCGGGAAACTATTACTATCATATCACCAGCCACATGTTTCTCGGTTCGTCCGAGGCCAGCCCAGCCCGCGCGGCAAAGTAGCAGCTACTACTACTTAGTTACTAGGACTTTAGCTCCTCCTTTCTTATCCCCATCATTACTACCACACACCCCCCCAGCCCCCTCCGCTCTCCCCTCCCTAAGACAGAGACTTGCGATGTGACTTGCAGCTCACCGCGACCCATCCCAGTCTATGCGCCACTATTAAGCCCCAAGTTCAGTGTGATCGCGATGTCCTTTCCTTACTCCCAGGATGCTCGCCGCCGGCGGGTCGGAGCCGGCGCCGGCTTCAGCTCCACTGGTAATCGGACCGTCCTGGGATACTGGGTGCCTCTTGCTGTCACCGTGGGCATCGCAACTGTTAGCATTGCAGCCTGGATCTGGAGCGAACGCAGCGAGGACGATGACGATAATAATAACAATAACGACCGCGATACTACTACTATCCCCCCTCCGCACGATGACCGCTTCCCCGCCCCCGAGGGATACCCTCATGGCGAATATGCGGACGATTACGCCCGTTCAACTGCTACGGATATACCAGGGGATGATGCTAGCATGATGGCGCGCATGCAGGGTGCGCTGCGCCGCACTCCTAGTCCCCAGCAGATCTTTGATGGCGCTAGCAAAAAGGTTGCTGCGGGAGTCGCTGCCGCGGGAGCTTTCGTGGGTGGTGCGCTGACCTCGATTCGTGAGGAAGATAGGGGTGACTTTGAGGATCATTCTCGTTGGTCGGAGGAGGTCGCTTCGAGAGCTCAGCGCGCGGAACAGCCTGCGCCAACTATGACGGGGGCGTTGCCGGTTCGTGATGTTGGTGTTGGCGGCCCAGTGTCTGCTACGAAGAAGAGGACTGTTGCGATTGTGGTCTCGTCGGAGTCTGCGCAGGTGGATCCGGAGGATATCGTCTCTCAGCATGTGGTAAGTCTTGATGGTTTGGTGTAGGTGCCAAAGCGGGTTTATGCTAATGGGCTTTTGCTTTCTGCGCAGTCTATCCTTTCTCATCTCCCCGAACACGTCAACCTAGATACGGCCAGGGTCTTCATCATGATCTATGCCCCAGGTCTCAAGCACGCTCCGAAGCAGGGAAGCTCCTCTCAGCCGGACTTGTCTGTTGCCTCTTCCTATTCCAACATCGCCCCCGAAGAAGCTGTTGCGTCTGGTGAGCTTCCAGAAGGAGAGTCTCCCTCGGAATCTCGCCAGGATTATGAGGAAGAGGGCTCTACACCAATGTTCAAGACGATGTACACCCAGGCGCAGGCACTTGTGGAGAAGGAGAATACCATCATGCCCTTCAGCACCGCGACAGGGTTTGTGCATCTTCTTCGCCACCTTTCTCCGGAGGTAGTTTATGTTCAGGAGTCCCTTACCGGGGAAGCAGGAGAGCATGTAAAGCTCTTCTCTGGCTGGGTTCGGGATACGGTCATCGTCGTCGGAGGCGAAATCGGTCACGGTGGTCTTGTTGACAGCGACGATGAGTCTGCTCTTGCAGACAAGGGCGAGAAATGGTGGCAGAAGGAGGGTGTCACTGGCATTGGCAAGCGGATCAACGTGGTGGATGTCCACCGCATTGGTGATGATTGGAGGCGAAGAGTGTCTGGGCACGACTAGACTAAAGTCGAGTATTGGAAATGTCGATGTTTCAGCGTTGGCTAAATGTCTCGGTTGCCTTGCGTATAGGTGTGCCTTATGTTATTTTGATGAACCTTCTCTTTTCTTGTTATTGATTCCCCTGTCTTGATGAGATGAAGAGGATTTGCTCTTCATGTTGTTTACCCCTGTGTGAATATTGATTGCATGATGACCGCGAAGCATGGTCTACTTAGCTTCTACGGAAGCGATATGTTGAATGAAATGAGCCTTTGCACATAGCAGTGAGTTTACTCGTTAACATCCTCAGGAGTATAAACTCTGTATAAAGTTTCGTCATATGTGGTCAACACTTAAGTGGCACATGATGTATGTATGATATGGGTTGTTCAGGGTCGAACTGACCACTTCATTCCTAACTACTACTGCCTCATTCTTAAATTCCCAATCGAGTACAACTGCATGATCTCAGCTCCTGCTGATCCAACATTGGAAATGGTACGTGAATTAGGTAAAGCCCTTCGAGCAGATATATATATATATATATATATATGCCCACTACCTCTTTCCCCAACCACAACCTGTCTCTCTTATAACTAAGGAGCACTAGTGTTCTTCCTTTCTCATATATCTCTCAGCTATCTCTTACACGACTCCATGGCACTACTGACCAAATCCCCTCAAAACAGACCTCAACCGTGATCAGCGACACCTACACCATCCTAGCAGGGCTACCAGCCTCTCACCGACAGTGCCCATTCCCAAACTGGAAACAACTACGAAATGCCGTGCAAGCCATATACACCCAGCTAGAGCAACACAACTGGTCAGGAAACCAATGGCTAGCTCTCACCGACATGTCACAAGCTGCCATCGAAAAGCTAAACGAAGACCATGGCCTACTAGCAGGTATCTCAGTCCGATTTACATGGATCGGAACCACAGGGCTCCTAAAAGTAGCCGCCGGTGCTCCCCACCACTTCACTACAACAGAAATATTCCGTTACATTGACTCTCAGTGTTTTGAAATGGGAGTGCCACGCACGCAGCTCACCTGGGGAATGGCAGTTACATTACCCGATCAGGCTGCCTCCCCACAGGGCAAGCAACCTGATGCCTGCGTTTTCCCTCCAAATCGCCAGCCGATGCGTGGCCAGTGTAACGGTTGGCCGTCGCTCGTCGTGGAAACAGGCGTTTCGGAATCCCTAACGAAGCTTTGTCGAGATGCTACATGGTGGTTTCAGAATTCGTTGGGCGATACTAGGATCGTGATTCTGCTTGCGATTAACGCTGGATCTAGAGAGCTGAGGGTTGAGAAGTGGCAGCTCGTTCCGTCCGGGAGGCTCGTCACTAGGCATTTGATTGAGGAGTTACGCCAACGGCCTGGTTTGATACCGCCTCTTGGTCAGCAGCCAGCAGGTGTGCAAACTGCCTTTTGTGTTCAGGAGGTGGTCATTACGCCTGAGTCAATTATGGGGCAGCCTCTTGTGATACCTTTTAGGGCTATGTTTGATCGGCAACCGAATGGGGCCGAGCGAGATATAATTATTGATAATGAGGGCTTTCGCGAGATTTCGCGGTTTCTATAGGTGATAAGGATAGGGCCACTTTGGTGTATAGATACTCAATTACAATGAGGTCTGCCTTACTTGCCTGCTAAGAGCTGCCACTAAAGGCACTTTCAAAGCCCAAGGCCACCCCTGAGTCCTAACCGCAAGGTAATCTCCTCAGAGCCCCAAAGGTCACCACCACGGCCATCACTGTTAAGGTCGGTAGCTCACATTGGTTACCTGCAGTAGTTATATCCATGACACTCGTCTTCAGCAGCCTTCCTCGAAGGGTGTCAAGGGTCCCCCATGGTTCACAGGGTCACAACTATAAAGTCTATTAATTCCAGCTCTACTAAGGCTACTTCCTGACAACCTCCGGAGACAATAGTAAGGATACAAATAATGCAGAATGGTGTACTTAGAATAGTTCAAGGTAGCATCAAATGATGACTATATACCCTACATATGACCTTTTTGTACTTGGTCTCAACCAAACTGCCTAGATATTGAATAACACCGTAATAGTTGGTCTTCAGTCTATGTATCGACAGTAACAGATTAGGTGTTGGCCATCACTTGAATGATTTCTAATTTCCCAGAGTGGAAAGAATACAAATCTTCTTCAGTAGATGAATAGAAGATATAATATCTGGAATACTCCATATCGCAGGCGCGCGGCACTAAACCCAAAGCGGTAGTCAGGTGACCCCGACCTCCTTCACGTCGCCCGCGGCTTGGCATCATACAAACTCCCTTTGCAGAGCCACAACCAACCGTCGACCGACTCTTCCCACTCGCTCCGAGCCTCCCCTGCCTTCCTTGCAGGTGTCTGTTCGATGGACTTTCATACCCTTTGTCTGTAGCGACCCGCGCTTTGTGCAAGTGTTCGCATTGAATCGGGCCAGTTCGTTGTCGTGCCGCCCCCGATCTCCGCTCCCCACATGTCTCGCGCTCCGGCTGTATCATCAACCACGACTCACGGCCCTGTCCTCATCCTTCCTGGATCCGGTTCCCCCAAGGTCGCATTTATCAGCTTGCGACCATAATCGCGCCGCGGTTCATCTCCGAGACTATGGCGACCGCAATTTCGAAGCCGACCTCGCATACCCCTAAGATGAAGCGACCGCCCCCGCCTTTCGTCCAGACCGGAGTGAACGGAGTCAAGTCTCAACAATCCTCCTCTTCTTCTCCTCCCTCCTCCGCGAAACGTCTGCCCGGTTCGAACCAACCGGCTTCAGCAAGCTCCGCCGGCGGCCCGACGTCAAATGGCGTCAATGGCGCGGCTAATGCGGCTGCCGGCTCGAACAAGGCTACTCAGAATCGACCTAAGAAGGAAGCGCAAAAGCCTGGTGACCAGGCTGCGCGGTTACAAAAACCATTGTTAAGGTCCTTATCCATTGACAATGATCGTCGCGCAGGGAACAGGTGTCCCGAGCCATATGGTAAGCTCTCAACCCGATCCACATGCGGAGCCCCTGCGTACTGACCATCGGGTGCGTCATAGTCAAAACGTCGTCTTACATCCTCAAGAAGTTCTCCAAATGCCCGCCCTCGCTTATCCTCCACCTTCACCCAACACATTTCCGCTTCGAGCAACAAGATGGAAGCTTTCCTTATAATTCCGAGATGAAGGTCATCATCGAACATATTCGTGCCGGAACTGTTCCCCATGATATGATGGAGGAGCTGTTGCGGGCTAATGTCCGATTCTATGAAGGCACGCTTCCACATGCCTCAACTTCACCTCTATCTGGTGGACTTGGCTAACCTCTGTAATTCACAGGCTGCCTCATCGTTCGCGTGGTCGATCACAAGTCGGTGTCAGCCCAGGCCAGGAAGTCGAGTGCGCCGACTTCCAACGAGAATAACACCCCGTTCTCGATTCATAACTATAACGAGCATGTTACACCATCGGCTTATGTGCCCTACCCAAAGCAATCCCAATTAAACTCCGATAAGCCGGCCGCCAAGGAAACCCCAACCGGAAATCAACCCGATGCGAAAACCAACGGCGAGCAGTCCGGCGATTCAGAAAAACGTGCAGAGGAAGCTACATTGAACTCCGCTCAACCCAAGCAGCCTCCAAAACCCCGAGTTTTCACTACCGTTCTCCACCCGACTCCACGTTCCTTGCAAGCGGAACTCACTTTGCTTGCCACTACACCCGATCCCAAAGCGGCGAAACAGTCGGCATCAAATGCTGCTTCGCGTCCTCAGCAGTCCTCGTCTACAGCTCCACCATCTCCAGGAGGGACATCCAATCAGACCGAGCGTGGACATCCTGCAAAACGACAGAGAATGTTGGTTGAACCTCAGGAGTTTCTGGAATGTGAAGCGAGATTGACAAGAGCACTGGCTCCACCTCTCTTCTTGGATCCTGTCAACAGTTTCGACGCTGTGCAAGATCTGCTGAAGATCATGGAGAGCCCACTCCACCGCGATCCGCCACCCTCACCAAAGAGGAGGAAGCGTACCGTGGCTGAGCTCGCTGCTGACGAGGCACTGGCTGCCGAGGAAGAGAGATTCATGCTCATCATGGATGAGCGACTGGAGCCTACCTCCTCCGGTGGTGCTGGAGGGCCGAAATCCGCGGTTGTGGATGATACGGGTGGTGGTGCACCATTTGAGCCTCGATTCTCAAGGTTCAAGACGCTTGAGAATATCCGTATGCAGCATGAGGAGAAGGCCAAGCGCGAACATGAAGTCAAGATGAAACAGGAGTTGGCTAAACGACAACAGCAAGAGCAGGAGAGGGAGAAACGTCGCCTTCTGGAGCAGCGACAGAATGAAGAGCACGCTAAGGAAGAGGCTCGTAGACAGCACTTTGCCGCGCAGGCTCAGGCGCAACTTGCGGCGCAGCAGCAACAACAACAACAGCAGCAACAGCAACAGCAGCAGCAGAGTCGGCATGTCATGGCGCAAACTAACGGGGTTAGCCAAGCGCCGCAGTCTTCGCCGGTGGTCCGTAATCAGACACCTCACAACACCTCTTCGCCTGTTGTTGGCAACACAATGGCCGCACAAGCAAGTGTTCCTATGAGCATGACGCCTTCTATGCAGGGAGCAGGCAGCCCACCGAGGCCGCCATCTGCATTGCAGCACGCCCATCCTACAGTTATGAGCCATCCGATGGCACCTTCCAGAAGCCAACAGGGACAGAGCCGACACGGGACACCACAGATGACTCAAGGAACGCCAGCAATGTCTCATGCTACACCTATCATGCGCAATGTAACACCAACACAGCGTATGAGCCACGCCAGCCCGAGTCATACGACGATGGCCCCAACACCGGTGATGAACCAGGCTACCATGATGGGAACACCACAAATGGGAGGCGGAATGGGCCTTACACCCCAACAGCAACAGCAGATGCTATTGCAGCAGAGGCAACAACTTCTCGCCCAGCAAGGGCATATGGTACAGAATCAGTTCTCGCCCAAGCAAGTAGCTCAGATGCAGGCCAACGCACATGCGCAGCAGAACATTCAAGCCCATCAGCAGCAGATGCTACAAGCCCAGCAGCAGAATTTCCAGGCACAGCCCAAGTTCCCGAATCCACAAGCCTATCAGGCTCAGTTGATGCGTGCGCAGCTCGCGCAGATGCACATGGCTCAGCAGCAGCAACAGCAACAGCAACAACAGCAGCAACCGCAACAGCAGCAAGGCCAGCAATCACAGAATCAACAGGGACAGGTACACCAAAACAGCCCACATATGAACCCTCAACAGCAGCAAATGCTAATGGCGGCGGCTCAGGCCAATGGAGGTCATCTGCCACAAAATATGCAAGGAGTAAATTTGGCACAGAACGTCATCACTCCACAGCGATACCAGCAATTGTTCACTCAGCGATTGGTACGGCTTAGGCAAGAAATGGCGGCTCGATTGATGCCACAGTACGGTTCACCGTCTCAGTTCCCACCACATATACAACGACAGTACACCACAGGACTGGAACAGAATGCCAAAGCTTGGGTTCATGACATTGTTCGACGAGAGCGCGAGCTGATTCAGCAACGTGCCAACCAGGTTGCTCATGTTCAAGCTCAGGTGATGCAGCAGCAACATCAGCAACAGCAACAGCAACAAAACATGATGCAGAACGCCCGGGGAAGTAGCTGATTTGCTTTACCTTCTTTTTCCTTTCATTCTAACTACAATATGCCGCAGGGCTATTCTTTCATCTTTAACCTTTTTCTTCAAACCCTACCGTTCTTATACCTTCTATCGGATTTGGACAGCGCATGGCGCTCCCCACGAACCTCCACGATTATACATTGGGATTATTCTGTTCTTTTTCTTCTTTTCAAGTCCCCGCTTATTTTTTCTTCATTTCTGAGACTGTGCATAAGGTATTGGGAACCAAGGCAAAAGAGGTTGGCGTTTATATATTTTTTTTTGTAAGACTTGGGCTTCCTTTTCTTCTTTATTTTGGTATCCTTATTTATTTTGCTTTGCTTTACTTTCCTTTTTGTCTTTCTGGTTTGCGCTTGGCGATTTGATTTGATTTGCTTGTACCACACGGGAATGGACTGGTTGAATTTAGGGGAGCAAGGAACCGACTTGATACCATTTTTGTACAGGTGTCCCCTTTTGATTTATGCTGATGTTGACGTTGATGTCTGATAAGAATCGAATTGAAGCGAACTGATATAATTTGTTTTGTTATGAGTAAGAACTGTCTAAATCGACAGGTAGTAATAAGCCCAACATTACACCGCCCCCTCCACCTAGAATAATGGCTTCACCATCGACAGAAGCGATAAGTGGCAGTACACAGAAAGTTAAGCTTTTTGGGAGGTTGATGGTTGAGTGAGGGCTGGGACGGTGGAAGAGGATGTATTGGATGACGAGAGGTTTCAGTTCAGTTCATTCATATATCTTTCTGATGACCCAGAATTGCGGTAGATCATAGTATGTATAGGCTGGATACATATTAATAGTCAGCAGTAAGTAGACACAATACCAGCATTGTATGATCATATGATAAATGTGGTGTGATAAAGCAGAACTTAGCAATCTAGAAGTCACAAATCTTACTAAATACTACTATGAAATAATGATTGAATCATATAAATCTAAGCAGAGCAGAGGGGAGCTAGATAAGTAGTAACAAGTATTTCAACAGTCTACTAGTAGTAGTAATCAATCTATTGCTCTAGTTATAGATTAGATAGCATTATTAGATCGACCTGTAGGAGTATAGTATAGTATAGTATAGTGTGATCAATGGGGATATCAATTCAGTGTTATTTATCTGCACTAATTGCCTAATGTAGAATACTACTCACTCATACATGTTGTTAGCTGAGTACTTATTAATCCCGTTATCATTTGTAGTATCTTCAAATCGGCTAATTAAGTTACCCAGGGGAGGGGTGGGGGGGATGGCAGTACCAGCAGAGCAGTATGAGGTTTAAGTCATTTAGTGGAACATGGAGATACAGAGCAACAAAATTACAGGGTGTGGTATTCCATCCACCTTTTCCTTTACAGAATTATTTGATAATGGACATGGCGGGAGAGATACAGAGAAACGGTCAAGGAGGGGCAGCAGGGAGAAGGAAGAAATAATTATTCCATCATTCCATAGAAACAACTGTACGATAAAACTGAAATATGTGGAAAAGGGGCCCATAAAGCCATAGATAGATAAAAGAGGCATATTGCACAGATGAACCTTTGGATTTTTTTGGTGTCTTTTTCTCTTTCCCTTCTGTTCGTTTTATGTTTCACCCTTTCCCTTATTTTGTCTGTTTCCCCTGGGTCGTTTTTTGTTTTCACATTTGAGATTCAAGTTCATACACACATGCAAGCACACACAAGACGCACTCTTTTCTCTCACTTCTCTCATGCACACACACAAAACTTTCATTTTCGTTCTCATCTCATTTGGATCCCTGGATTTCGACTACCTAAGTTGCTAGCGAGAAAAAAAGGGGTGTTGGGGAGGGAGGGTTTATGGTAGTGAGGATCATGCGTAGAAAGAAAAGAAAAAAGGTGTGGGTGAAGCATGGGCATGCATGCATGGATGCTAGCCTATAAATGCAAGTTTATGAGGGAAAAAACTGCATTTATTTGCCGCCAAGGCTGGGGAAGTTCTTCTCGTCGACGGCGACAGTGGGAGCAGCAGCAGCAGCGGCAGCGGGGCGCTCGGAGCGGGGACCGTTGCCACGGCCGCCACGGCCACCACGGGGACCACCACGGCCACCACGGCCACGGGGACCAGGGCCACCAGTGCGGGGAGCCTCAACGAAGCGCATGTCGACCTCGACGATGTTCTTCTCCTTGCGCTGCTTCTCGCGCTTGGCCTTGTCCTCCTTGCCCTTGATGTAGGCATCCTCCTCCTCGGAACGCTTGAGCTCCTTGGCGGCGGCCCACTTCTTGTCGAGCTTGGTGCCCTCGTTGGGAGCACGGACAGGCTTGGCGCTCAGGTCACCCTGGGCGGCCTTCTCGGCAAGGTACTCGGCGTAGGACTTGGACTTGTCGGCAGCCTCCTCGGGCTTCTCCTCGCCGGGGGTCTGGGGCTCGGTCTCATCGGTCTGAGCAATGTTCTCGCCGGCCTTCTCGTCGTCCCAGGTCTTCTCGCCGCTCTGGTTACCCCAGCCCTGGTTCACCTGCTTGCGGGTGTCGCTATCCCGTTCGTCAGTTTTGATCGAGTCCCAAACTTCTTTTTTGCCTATCTTCAGAAGGACAAAACGTAAAGGGAAAAGGCTTACGTCTGGCCGGTGCGGGACTGGCGGTCGTGGCGGACACGCTCACCACGGTCCTCACGGGCGCGGAATCCGCGCCGTTGGGCGTCCTTCTCATCGGTGGGCTTCTCGCGGTTGTTGTTTCTGCCGGCGTTGCGGTCACGGAAAGCTGAACGCGATCGGAATCAGTCGGAATGGACTTGCCAGGAACTGGAACCCAATGTAGATGGAAATACATACCGGCCTCGTTGCCAGTGGCACGGCCACCACGGCGAGAGTTGTTGTTCTCACGGGGCTGGGCAGGGGCCTCCTTGGGAGCGTCCCGCTTGCCAACACGGGGAGCGGGCCTGTCTACGGCTTTCGTAGGGGGCTCGGGAGCTCTGTTGGGGTCGAGTTCAGGGTCATTGCCTGTAGTTGCGCAGCGCGAGCAAAAGCACGCTCGAGGTTAGAAAATGATGTAATCCCTTCACGAATTCGAAGTGTAGATGGATCGACGACAAGCGAAAAGAGAGACCAAGGCAAGTCAAAACACGATAGGTAGTGCAAAGTGCAGGATGGGACTCAGGTATGGTAGGTAGGTAGGTAGACAAGGGAAGGGCGAGAATTACCAAGAAGCTCGTAGAGGTTCTGTTATAGTAGATGATATGTTAGCCATCGCATTCCTTGGATGTTTGAAGCTGTCGCTTTCTCTCCCGTCTCATCTGCTGTGGTGGTGGTGATGGTGCGAGTTGGTGAGGAGCAGGATAGATTTGTGCAATATTCCTGCCGTCCCCCAAACCCCGCTCGTTGCAATGCAACTGCGCTCTTTCAACCCAATCCCAGCATTCTTCCATCAATCCAGCCCGTAAATCATTCCTTCCCCCAAATCGCGGATTTCCATCACTCTCGCACAGCAACAGACGGAGAGAAAACGAGAGCCATTCTCTTTTCAAAAGCAACGCACCTTGGACCGGATCTCCGCCATGACGCCTGGTTTTATGCGGGGCCTTCCGGGGAAGGCTTCTCTCTTATCGCAACAATTCGGTCCGACGGAGCGGGCGGGGAGAGTCGACGCAGGCAGGAACCTCGACGACGAACGGTATCTGACCTCTCCTTTGTTTAGGGGGGATGGGATAGGATAGTGGTTGGAGTGAAGGGGGTTGACTGGACGGTGGATGGAGGCGACGTTTGTGGTTGCACTCGCCCGATCCGGTAAGGTGCGAATTGCTGCTAAGCGAATCCGGGAATGCGACCTGTGATTGGTCTACAGCAGCTAGGGCTTAGGGTAAAACACCAGCGGATGACGCTGAGATGATGCTCTGCATCGCTGCCTTCAGTTCGGCTTACGCTCGACAGTATGTAGCATGGTTGGATGTTGCTTTTTTCTGCTCCTCTTCCCCTCCAGCATTCTGGGGGTGATCTGTAGATCACTGCCATCCCAATTCCATTCCCCTCCTTTGTCATACGTCACTACTCCATTCTCCATCCTCTTTCTTCCTTTCTCTTTCCCTCGGCCGTTGTAGCTTTCCCCCAATTGCCGAGCTCCGTACTAGCTGGTCACCTGCCATTCCAGTTACTTCCCTATTCGAGTAGATATCTTCCCCTAGCTCTCAGAGCTCTCCCAAGAGGGAATTCATCCACATAGCAGTACCTCTAGAAAAAGAAAAAATAAAAGTAGCAGCAAAAGGAACAGAGGAATCTAAGTAGAAGCAGAGAAGTAATAAAATGATTCATGAAGGTAAATAGAATAGAATGCAATGCCGCAGGGATGCAACATAACCCAGACCAGCAAGAAATACACATGCAAGCCACCGTTTCACTGCAGCCCAAATCATCACCATCACCATAGCAAGAAAAGAAACACATCATATAGCTATGTCCGCAAGAGCTGACAGTAAAAAGTGCGACCCAATTCGAACTGCACCGCAGTCGCCCTCGGGCCCATTATACCAGTCATGCATGTACACAAAGAACCATGTCCCAACTTTTATCGCGGCCTTTCTTTTTACTTTCCCTTTTTACCCTTCTTTCCTCCGCTCATTCCGCGCTCAAAGGAACAAACAGCCAACCGCTTTTTTTCCAGTTTCAAAGGCGTCAATCAATCAAAAGCGCCACAGCAACAGCAGAACAGCAAGCGAACCAATATAAACAAATGGTATCAACCGCAAACGCCAGGCAATGCTTCAAAGTTTCAACTTTTGTCTTCCAGTCATAGAAGAAAGCTATGAAGGAAATCCGTCAAGCGTGTCTCTCTCTTCCGACCGTGGTATCCCTCGAACCGAAAGAGGGAAGTCAGTGCCGGATGTGAGATTACAAAACAAGAAACAAACGGGTTAATGGCGGGTATTATTCTGCTCGTAACTGAAAGGAGTCTGGAAATGCATGCTAGCACTCAATCCAAATGGATCGGCATCCAGCATAGGTTCATAGTTCCCCATGAGGTGGTTCGCATTATTGTATGCGCCATTGGCTCCCTCTCCCGCATGTTGGGTGTATTGGTTGAGATTATGAGCTCCCATGGGGTGAGAGCCCGCCGGCACAGATGCGGCATTGTTGTAGCCGGAGACGTAGGGTGAGGCACCCACGGTGGAATCATGTTCCTCGTCAATCATATCGGCCTGGGCATCGTACTCCTGTTCTATGCGGACATTAACCAAGGGTTCAATACCACCACGGACCTGGAAGAAAACAACAATGCGACAATGGAGTTAGCTTACCCAGTTGGTCATAGTGCTTCTGGAATGGCGATGGGTAGTACGCGGAGGGGACGCGGGGAGCTCGGGGATTCGTACCACCCGGCATGGCGGCCTTTGGGTCGGTCGACTCCGGCTGGCCGATGCTCATCGGCGGCGAGGTTTGGCTGATATTTCGCGAGTGCGACAGCATCTGCGAGCGCTGCTGGGCCTGGGGATCCACCCCAACCGGCGACATGGCTCCCTGGAAGGGAAAACCGGGGGATTTGGCGTGGGACGGAGAGGAGACATGGGACGGAGGCGTGGCCTGGAACTGTGGCGACGGAATACCATACGCACCATCACGATGTTGAGCCATGCCGAAGGGCTCCTTGGGAGCGATGCCAGGATGCCGTTGAGCCGAGGTTCGGTTTACGGCAGCACGCTCGAGGGTGGAGGGAGGCTTCGCTGCCATTGGGGTGGGCTTAGCGGCGCCCGCGCCAGGGGCCCCGGCCTTGAGTCGCAGCTCAGCTTGCACATCGATTCCTACGGTCGGTCAGTATCTCACGTATGGGACAAGGATCGCCCCGAGGGCGCTTATCAGGAAAGGGGCTTGCAAGCTTGCAGTTGGGTATGCGAACGGGGGAGACCAACCTTTTTCGAGCAAGATACGTTCGAGCAAGGAGTTCTTGTAGCGCAGCATCAAGCATTCATCAGCGGCGCTACGATGATTCTGCTGGAGGGTCTGCAGGGAGTCTTCATTGCGCTTAATGGTGGACTCGAGCTGGCGGATGTACTCTGTGCGACGCTCACGAAAGGCGGCCTGGGCCTGGCGGTTGCGTTGCTTCCGCTCCTCCGAGGTAGCATAGATCTGACGGCGGCTGTTAGCTTCATGCCGGGGAAGGGATGGGATCAAGGGTCCAGATAGATAACAAGATCGATAAAGGCTGAAGAGGGGAAGGGAGTAATAAGGTGCAGATGAGATAAGTAGTCAAGGGGACAGCAAGAATGGAGGGATATGACAGGACGATAAGGGATGAACAATCGCAATGATAAATGATAATAATAAACGCAGTGCGGGGCCCCGGACTGGCACGCAGGGACAAATCACCGGGGGAGGAGCAGCGATAGGCACCAACAGCACAGCCAGTGATGATGCTGGATGAACACCAAAAGACGTGATGGATGTGATGATAGATAGATAAAGGTAATAGAAATGAGATAAGAGAAAAACAAGCAACGACCACCACGAGGTATAAAAAGCCAAAAGGGTCGGTCGATCTGGATCCGGGGTAAAACAATAAAAAACAGAGTTGAGGACAGCCACCCTCGAAGAGTTCTTACGTACTGGTTTTCTTCCCCCTTTGCGCTTCTGAGTCTGGGTCACATCTTGCATCAGAATCTCCCCCTCGGCCTCAGGTGTTGACACCGCCGAGCTGATCGAGCCTTCAGGCAACGGCTCGGTCTTGGGGACAACCGGCTCAGTGGCCGGGTTGTCATTTTGTGTGGAATTGCTTGTCTCAACCATGGAGACCATTGGATTTGGCTATGTATGAGGAAGGGGGGATGGGAATTTAGCCTCGTTCTTTTCTTTGTTTGCTGGCCGTTCTTGTTGCCTGTCCGGATTGCCCAAAAGACAGGTCGGTTATGGGAAATCCCCCCTTGCGTGCTTGGTAGTTGGAGAATGACGCACCCAACAAGAACGAAATCCGGGGGCGTGGGATATTATAAAATTAGCAAGGAAAGAAAAGGGAACAACAGAAGAAAAAGAAAAAAAGGCAGATGACGACGGCCGGGATCGAATATCAAAAGTCTCTTCTTCTTCTTCTTCTTCTCTTCTCTCTTGTCTGTCTTTCTCCCAAAGACCGGGCTAACAAGACAGCGGACTTAATTTCCCCCTCACACAAAATAGACGCGGTGAACGATCACGAAAGACAAAATGGTAATAGAATACACAGCAGGTAAAAAAGTTAGCCGGCGGGGTTATGGAATCTGATAATTCAGACGCAGGAAACGCGCGGCTGGGCGGCAGAAAGGGACGTGCGAGGGCTGGCAAAGGGTCGCAAGGAGGCCAGCGGAAGAGGTGACATAAAGGAAATTGATGATGGAATACCCAGATAGCCAGCAGGTTCGGAGGGAAAGTAGGAGAGAAGCGCGAAGAACAGTGAGAGGGGAAGGGTGGGAAGGTGAGAGTGGGAAAGATGTGAGGTAAAATTATTTACTAAAAAGAACGGGAATGTTATTAAAAGGAAAAAAAAGGTCGAATAAGGGCCTTCTTCTCTTGGTCCAAGCCTGGTGGGTTGGAAAATTCGAGCAAAGAGTGGGCAAAAATAATATTTAATGGGGACAGCAGAAGGAAAGGGAAAAAAAATAAAAAAGAGAATTTTATTTCATTTTTCTTTTGGCTTCTCTTCGAACTTTCCTTTTAGGTCAAGGCAGAGACTTTCCCAGGGGAAAAATCCAGCCCATCATCCCCATCCACTCCCTCCATCCACTCACGCGAGACGGTGCAATGAGTGTGAGAGGGGAAAATGGACCGAACGGAACGAGCTTCGGTTTCGCCGCCGCTGGTCAAAACTCTTTTTGACTTTTACACTACTTTTTTGACGCCTCGTCTGGTCTTTACTTTTTTCTGCTTTTAAACAACTGATGTTCTCTCGCGCCCGTCCGGTTTCTGTTTCTTCTAGTAGTTCTAGTAGTTCTAGTAGTAGTTCTACGCATTCTTCCCTGCCCCTACTTTAGTTTCTGTCCATCCAACATCACAAGAGCCACTCTCCCCTCATTGCCCAGTTACAACACCCCCCCCCCCGCCTCCCTCCCCTCTCCTCTCAGCTTTTCTCACATACACTGGCACTTTCTTTGCTTTTCTGTCCACTCAGGTCCTCGATGCAATTCTTCCCTCCTTGCTAGGAGCGGTTTTCCTCGGCCGCGGCACCAACTTGAGCGAGATCCACTGCAAGGTCAGACCCAGCCGAAGATCCGCCCAGGGTGAGTCGTCAAACTCGTCACTGCCTCCGTGGTCCAAGTTACTACTTATGCCCTATTTGAACGAGCTTACTCCTCTGGTGGTGCTGGTGGTGGTCCGTCCACCAGGCGATGCAGGCTCCGAAACGGAGTGGAGAGCAGGAGAACGTGTCGTTGTCCTTTCTTATTCCTTTCCGCTTCTCTCGGAAGTGGCTACTGGGGGTGTGGATGCGAGCAACCTTGAAAGCAATGCCATTGTTGCGTCGGTTCCAGCTAGCTCAATCTGGATCAAAACTGCGTAGTATCTATTGCAGGCGATAAAGTAGATGCCAGTCCTTTCTCCTATCGACAAGTCATGAGCAGATTTCCCTGCCCCTTTCTGGTGGGCACGTTGTTAATATCTTCATCATGCCGCGGAGATGTTCCGGCAGGTCAAGACAAAGTTTTCCGTGGTTCAGCTGGGGCGGATTCCTTGTCCTGCTGTCGTACGAACTCGGGGGTCTTGCGTGGACACACCAGGTTCCCCTTCTACCCTCTTTTGACTCCTCTTTCTATTGAAGGCGGTGGGTTTATGATTGATTGATTTAATTGAACATCGGTCTAAGTACCGTGGCAGGAAGTAATCCGACAGTCAAGAGAATTCTGGTAGTCTAACTCCATGAGAGAGGTCGTACGAAATGTCCGGGACCCTTGAAGGAGGAAGAAACAGCGAGGAAAATCACGCAGATCCAGCCAGACCAGACCCAAACGGGACAAGGTGAATACGGCAAAGTTTCGTCCCTGACCCCGTGACCAGTGGCCATTTAGGGGCATAATACGGCATGATGACCATACGGTACCACGAATCCATCTCGACTAAATTGCCTTTCTCATCCTCCCAGAAATCTCTCAGGGTCTTGGATACTACATAAGATAGTCTGATCTGTCTGGTCTGTTCGGAATCCCGAGGATAACCATTTGGATGACAGTCCTTGGCAAGTCTGCTTATAGAACAGTTTGGACTAGAAGAGACCTCCTCTTCTGTATGCTTTGTGTATACAATGAGAGCACCTGATCCGACAGCCGAACTTCCGGTTTCCATTTCCCCCCTCAACTCAAACCAAACCAACTAATCCAGGATGTACCTGCAGGACAGCCAGACTAGACAGAAGACACTATGACTTACTCGGTTTAATACTACTACTTGTGGGATATACACAGTAGTAAGAGTACCCTAGTAGGAGACTGCCGATGGAAGGAGGTCTCCGCCAGCCAACCACCTCCAGGGCCTCGCCTATGTCCCGTCATCGTACGTCGCTCCGAAACTCCGCCTTCAGGAAGAAAAGGCAAAGTGACTGTGACTTGACATCACGAGGATCCGCCACGGGATCATCTGAGGATGATGGGCTGATCGGAAGGAATTCCAGTGCCCGTACCTGTTGCTGTTGCTGTTGCTATTGCTATTGCTGGGTGGACTTGCGGCGACTACCGATGAGCAGCAGCAACTATTGACCAGATCCTTCTTGGCAGACTTGGATTTGTTGTCGCTGCTGCTGCTGTTGCTGTGTTTGGAAGATGAATATCAGAATGGAGAGAGCGTAGCACTTCTGTACTCCGTAAAGTAGAACGTATTCCCGTCGGAGTAAATCTGAATCCAGACCGAGTCAGTTGTTTCAACATGTTAACTAGTTAAATCTCCATCAGATCTGCCGGTGACAGCGCCTGGACCCTGATGTCATTCCCAATGTCTTTTTCTAACTATACTCAATCACTCCTTTCTACTCGACTCTATACTCTTTCTTTCACTCTACCCCTATACAAGACCACATTCATTCAATTCAATTCCAAATGTCAATACAATAACTCCAAAGAATGATTGCTACCCTTCCATCCCCCATTCACCATCCCCTGAGCGCAACTCCGAGAAACCAAAAAAATAATAACCGCGGCGATCGGCTTTCCATCGGCTCTTCCCCCACCACCGAAAAGATGGACTGACTGATTATTCATTCCCTTCATTTCTTTTTTCACATGAAGACCAAAAAAAAAAAAAACACTACATCCTCAGCTCCCCATCGTCAACCACCCCATCTAATCAAATCCCGCCTGTCAGACTTTCTGTCTCCTGCATCTCTGAAAAGGAACAACACAAGAGGCTCACCTGCGCGCCGATGCAATCCGTCTCCGCCCGCCGCAATCCAGCAACTGCAACTTGAACCCGCCGCATCATTTTCCCCTCTTCTCCCCCCAATCTCCTCCCCCTCGGCTATTGCGATCATCAGTCATGGCCTCCTCATCGGCTCCCTCCGCCAACATTGGCGCAACCCCCCAACCTGACAGTCCTGCTGCTCCCACACAGATCCCCGAAAAGGTTTCTGCGGATGACCAGAAGAAGTCCGCCACGACGACTGCCCCAAACAATGCCCCCTCAGCAGAGAACCCCGCGCAACAACAGCGCACGAACAACAACGATGACGATGACGATGACGACGAATCAGAATTTGATGAATTAGATGGTACTTCTATACACTCTCTTTCTTCAATTCCGATGTATATTGTTATCTAACAAACAATGTAATATAACAGAGGTCCTCGACGACTTTAAACCCAAACCATCCCCCGCCCCCGCCAAACCCGATGCCGCACAACCATCTGCCCCTGATGACTTTGACGAGGAGGCCTTCCTCCGCCAACTCGAACAAGATATGGCGAATATGATGGGCGGTGGTGGCGGCGCCAGCAACGACGCTGCTGCGGCTGCGGCTGCGGCTGGCGCCACCGATACCAACGACGGCGGCCTCGACAAAGACGCCGAGGCATTCGCCAAGATCCTCGAGGAAAGCGGAGTCTCACCGTCCGACTTTCTGAAGCAGCTCGTCGGAGACGTCATGATGAAAGGCGACGACGATAACAGCACTACGGCCGCCACCGCGGGCTCTTCAGCAGCACCAGCACCAGCAGCATCATCAACGCCATCAACAAGTGGCACCGCAGCACCTGAAACCTTCAATGACACCATCCAGCGCACAATCGAACGGATGAAAGAATCCGGCGACAAAGCCACAGCGGCAGCCTCGGAGGACGACATGTCGGATGATCTGGTAGCGCAACTCATCAAGGCGATCGAGGCGGGGGCATCGTCAGGCGAAGGTGGCGACGAGGGGGATCTGACAAAGATGTTCATGGGCATGATGGAGCAATTGTCGAATAAGGAGATCCTGTACGAGCCGATCAAGGAGCTTGATACGAAGTTCGGGCCGTGGATCAAGGAGAATAAGGGCAAGGGGAAGGTGTCGGATGAGGATATGGCGAGGTACGAGAGGCAGGCTGGAGTGGTCAGGCAGATTGTGAGTAAGTTTGAGGAGAAGGGGTATTCGGATGAGGATCCGAAGTGTAGGGAGTATGTGTGGGAGAAGATGCAGGAGGTAAGCTCCCAACCTATTGCTATTTTGTCGTGCTGTGCAGTACTAACTGAGGGTCTAGATGCAAGCTGCGGGTAACCCGCCTGATGAGCTGATCTCTGCTCCTTGGATGGAGGATCTTAAGGGTCCGGGTGGTGGTGCTGGCGCGGGTGGTATGCCTGATTGTCCGCAGCAATGATGAATACTAGTAGTAGTAGAATATTAATATATATACACACTTGGGCTGAGGGATCTCAATGTCTACTATCGTACAGAACCTGTTGGAAAACAGCTTCACCACCTATTAGTAATAGTACTTTTAAACCCCGTAGTCTCCCAACCCTAGGGCGAAGACGCATAGAGCAGAACAAACTATGTAACTGCTGACTACAAAACAGTATTACTAACTATCAACAGATGCATCAGACTCCATGACAGCATCATCAATGCAACAAATCTGGAACACCTAGACATCATCAACGTTTGAGGCTTCGAGGGTTGCTGTATTGTCTATTTGGATCACAGTAATTGTCAACCAAAGGTAGAGGATCTTGACCGTGGCCATTATGCATGATCCTAAGAGTCTCAGCAAGTTGTCCATCCAGCTCCCGTTTTCTGAAAATCCTGGGATTTCTTTTTGATAGGCGTAGGATATAAACGGGTACCAATGTCTTGCATTCATGAGCAGTCTGATAGTCATACTCGGTATTATTAAGGTCGACCACAAAGTAGGTGTGCTTTCCAGGGTAGATGTTGACTGCAATGAAACAAGTCTTGATATTTGCATTAAATTCATGGACGCAATTCTGGATTTCTGTAACAAAGGGGCGTATAGATCCTAGATAATCTTTAGGATCGAGTATGCTATTTGGAGTATCACCGAGTATTCGCATCGGGCCGCCTGTGTCTTCAGACTGTCGGAGGAACTCGAAGAGAACTCCGTGGATTTGGTGGAGAATGCGGTCGCGACTAACATCTGGTGTTGAGGCATCCATGATGGAGTGGGCGGTGATGATAATGAACTATCCGCGTTATTAAAAGGGGTGATATGATGATGGGGTTATATGGTGAATGTTTGTTGGCACTCTCCGATACTTCTAATATGAAGGATGAAGGTGAAGATGAAGAAGTTCTTAGATTCAATCAAGGGATGTCCATTGATTTAGGAGGGAAGGGAAGAAGGAGAAATAATCTTCCGTGTTTCTCCTTTGTAAAGTAGGAAGAGTTGAAGCAACCAACCAACCGACCAACAACCCTTTGCAAGAGTACTTAGGGGTGAAGGGTTTGTATGTAGGTAATGATTGGCTCGAAAGGTATCCGATCACTCGGAGGATTATAGTATCTGATTCTGATACCTCACGGCGAGCCCGGATTATCCTGACTAGGGTGAAGGGATCTTCTCTAATTCAAGTAAACCGAGTTTATTATAGACTTGGTTGAGGGAGCTTGGACGATAGGTGATGATCATTCATGTCCTTAAGTAGTACTGGACCGGGGGATGTTGGGGTTGTGGGTGATAAGAGGTGTCAGAGACGGAACGGAACGAGTACTAAACATACTATGGGGCGGTAACCCATGTCCTGACCCATCAGACTTGGGAGTTATCCAAAGGGCGAATAGGCCGTCTTGGAATTAGGGTTGGGAAACTTCTATGAGGATAGTCTGTAAGAGATACTCTACTATTATGCATATAGTAGCTTGCCTATCTATACTACAACTAAACTGAGGCACATCTATGTGCTAAGCAAAAACATGGTATGAAATATATGGACAGACTAGATTACTATCTGAGGGTTGACTATACTGGATGATTTGCTAATTACTACTGTCTAGATAACCGGTTGGGTGGGTAGGTAGTAGTACCCTATATCATTATAGACCCAATCCATGTACCTCATTCAACGCCAGACCATATCAAACCAGACCAGACCATGCTTTTGCCCTGTCCGTAACAATCAACGTGATACTAGTAGTGACAACAGTCCCATCGACCCGCGACAAGACACTCCCATATCGAGATCCGATACAGACACACGCACAGACAAGACAACAATCATGACATGTCCATATCCTGACTATGCGCAAATCCCCCACTTGACCCAGGGATATCAGGACCACCATCATGCCCCGCTAGATCCATGAATAGATCATCGTATTCTTCTTCATCACTAAATGAGATGTTCATCCCACCATTACCTCTACCAGCAGGACCACCTGAATCAAACAATCCGTGGTGATGCTGCTGCTGCTGCTGCTGTGGCTGTGGCTGTGGCTGCTGGTTCAAATACTCCAACCGTTCCATCTCGGCCGCTTGTTCTTGCAAGTACTCGTCCAGAGCATATGCGTCTACATCATCTGAGCGGGCAATCGTTAGCATCGTCATATCATCATAAGACGTCTCAGACAAGGAAGCTGTCGAACATACCATATCCATTGGCATACCCCTCTTCCTCTTCTTCCTCAACAACACCCATCATCTCCTCCGCCCTCCGTCTCATCACCTCTCCCCACCTCTTCTCCTCCGCCACATGCTCCATAAGCACCAACTGCTCGCCGCGATCGCCAAACCGCCCATCATCCCGATCCCGCTTCACGCGATTTAGAAACACATTCCGGCGTGCCGAGGGAGACGCGCTTGATTTTAAGTGCTTGGTCATGGGGTTGGAGATGGTGTTGGCGTAGCGGTGGGCATAGTTGGGGGAAGATTGAATGTTTCTTTGTCTTCTTGCGAATTGGTGGTGTGATTGCTGTTGTTGCTGTGGTGGCGTCGGGGATGGTGGTGCTGATGCCGATATGGAGGGGAGTTTCGTGGGTGTTGGAAGTGTGAAGGGGCTGGAGGGGATGTTGAATTGGGTGCTGTTGTTGGAGGTGGCGGCGAAGATGTTGGGTGTTGCTGAGGGGGTGTTTGTGAGACGGCGTGGTGAGAGGGGAGATGGTCGGGTAGGTGTGTATTGTTGGTGCTGCTGTTGAGGTGGTGGTGGTGATGATCCTGGTTGCTGCTGCATGGGGAGCGGAACGAACATCATTGTGATTGTCTGTAGTTGATTGATTGAAGTAATGCGATTCAGCCGGATGGGTGGATAGAGGGTTATGTCAAGTCGTAACGCGTGGAGGTAGTGAAGATATCGTTGTAAATATAGGAATGGTTTCTTGTCACTCATGCGACAAAGACAGGAACAGATTTGTTGTTCAGTAACCACAATTGCCACTCAATCGTATCTATCCAGTTGACGATAGTAGAGATGGTTGTCCGGAGAGACCAGCAATGGCCGCGGCGGAACAACGTGAAAGGCGGCAGGGATTCGCGAGCGCGTCCGACACGACGCCACGTGCTCACTAGTCTTCTTCGGGATATATAACATTCCTCAGGCTGTCAGGCACCACAGCACCTTTGACCCCTCCGCTGTGCGACGCATCATATGTAGACGGACAATATGATTATGCGATCTTTTGCATCGTACATTATCATGATAGATATATTCCGAAGGCCTTATGGCTGATCGTGCTGTTGTACCACTAGTGTCGTCGTAGATCGAGGAATAGGTGTTGGGGTGTCTGATCGCTCATACTCCTTATGTGAGGAGTTATGCAATTAAGATAAGTATATTGGTAAATGGCATTGCTGAGTGTTAATGTGAGATAGTTGGAACGGCTTTAGATAATGCAAGTTGACGATAAACTCACATTGCAGGATCGCATGTTCCTGGCGCACTGTTCACTACCGGCATATAGTGTGGACCAAGACATGTCAGTGATTGTGCTATTTCCTACCGAGGTCGTCTGTATTAAACATGGTGAGAAGGCTTGGATCATCAGACGCTACGATGTATGACCTGCATAGTAAATAGGTAACTACACATATGCAGCATATCTAGTCTAGCAAAACTGTCATGACATCATTGACAGTACAATTACTGCAGGAATCCTTCTCAAGTCATCTTTTTTATTAAATACATACAATCGAAAGCTTTTTGAAGGCTGAGATCGGGGATCTGCAATCCACAGCAGAGACAGAGACGGGACACTTTGCCGCTCACCGCTCCGCCAGAAAAGAAAACAAATGCTCGAGGGGGGAATCAAACTAAATCGACCAACCATAAATGCTAGGACAAAATCGCTGTGCTAAGTAAAAGGAGCGTGATATCGGTAAAGACCCGACGTATGGTCTATCAGAGCGAGAAAAGAGCGGTAGCTTCTTGAATGCAAAGCAAACAACCCAAGATAGCAGTGAGAAAACAACAAATCAGAGGATTTCCTCTCCACAAGCGCCAACAATAACTGCGTCATAATCGTACAAATTTACAGTCTCAAGAACGGTATCAGACCAGACCATATGTCTTCCCTGTTCGTTACCGCAGGATAAACATAGGAAAAGGGTGGTGTGTTCGTATCATAGACAGGATGCCGGGTTGGCTTAGAAGTTTGATGCAGCGTTGACGGGTCCAGGGTTGTGATACTGGTCAAGCGTGGTCTTGAAGGGCGTGCCACCAGCACCGGGGCTGGGTGCCTTCTCGCGAGCACCCGCACCGACTGCCGTGCCGCTCATGAGATCAGCAGCCTCGTCGTTGTCTTGCGCAGCCTTGCGAGCGTGGATCCTCCAGCCAACAACGGCAAGGGCACCGACGATGATTGCACCACCCACACCGACGACGACACCGATGATGATCTTCTTCTGAGAGGACGAGAGACCAGAGCTGCTGTTAGAGTTATCAGACGAAGTGCCGCTCAGACCAGGACTGCCCGTGGAGTCAGCACTGGCAGGAGTCGAAGTAGTGGTGAGAGTGGTTTGGACGGGGGTTCCACTGATGGTCTCGATAGTCGTGACCGTCTGCACAACCGGGGTTGCGGTGGTCTGCTGGGTAGTGCTTTCGACGGTGGTCTTGCCGTTCTTGTCCGTTGTAGTGACTGCAGTTGTCTGCGCATTGTTGTTGTTGTTGGATGATGTTGTCTGTTGCGGCTGGGTGGTTTGTTGGGGTTGCTTGTTGGTCGTGGAAGTGGTCTCTTCCGAAGTAGACGACGTAGTTGTAGGTTCACTGGTGGTCGAAGAGCTCTCCGAAGTCGAGGTAGAGGACTCAGACGTCGAGGATGATTCACTAGATGTGGTAGAAGGGGCCTCTGTGGTAGCGGCGGCAGCGGCAGAGGTGACGGCGTTGCCTACACTCGTGACTGCAGCGCTCTGGCCAGCGACGACAGCCACGAGGGACAGGGAGTAGAGGAGGAACGAAAGACGAGCGGCTCGCATGATGGGCACGTCGGATGAGATCGATAAGTCGGAACTCGGGGTATTCAAGGCGTTCTTTCGAGGCTTCCAGAGCCAACACGGATGAGGCAGGAGGGCAGTGGAGAGAACCGACACCGGGGAGGCGAGATTACAATTCCAACGCGACACGGGGGTGCCCAGATGGTGAGAAACGATCGTTTGGAGGGTTGAGAATCGGGGGAGACAGCAGGAGGACAAAAAGAGGCTGTCGGAAGATATGATTCACAAGGAGGGGTTAACGAGTGACTGCAGATATAGAGTTGTGGGTGGTGGTGTGTGTGGTAAGAAGGACAGGAAAGAGCGTAAGGAGGCGGGATGGAGATGAAAAGGGACTGGAGATGAAAGAGAGACGGAGAGGGAGACGAAGGGAACGGGATGGTGGAAGGGCACTGGCCGGCTCAATTGGGGGGGGGCCACCAACGGGACTTTTGGCTGCGCAACACCAATCCCAGCGTCGTGCCCAGGAGTCGGCGCTCTCTAGCGTCGGCGCTAAAGAACATGCCAGCCAGTCAGCGGCTGCCAGTTGAGACAGTTCTGCACAGGGGCGCCCCTCGTTTTGTGTTTTTTGTGTTTTTTTAGTGTTTTGTTATTGCATTTTTGGGGCGCCTGACTTTCCGCCCAGTATTTGGTACTGAGTATTATGGATACTATGGGTATTCTTCTTTTTCTGCCCGTTGGCTGTCACGGCCTTTGTCTCGGACTACTATGCCCAATACGGTGCTTTCTGGGTCGTCCCGATCCCACTCTAACCTCCTAGTGAGGTACCTGAGCAGTAGTGCTCCGGCTTGGTCGGCTAGAGTGAGGAGCAAGCAAGTCCATAGTATGGTAGATCACAAAGCGATCTTACAAAATTAATGCGTTCCATAATCCATTAGAGTAATTCTGGTACACACGTTGCTATTTTAAGGCATGTACCATGGGTCTTTAGGTATCGGTTAATGACCGTACCATAGAAAACAACTTTGTTCCTTGGGAGGAATTACCTAAGATTCGGCACCAACCAACAAACAACAACACCGAATCAACAATAATAATCCACAATTTTACTTCTGATGACTGGATATGTGTACATTCTATCAATTTTTATGCTTCTTGATGTTGGGTGGTCCCTTTCATTGTATCCGCGTGGCTCCGGTTCGATAGTAAAATAAGGAAGAAGAAAAGAAAATTCTGTAGTTTCCGAGCACCCACATCCTCGGTGTTTTCCTGGGAATACGCACATACGTACATTCTCTCTCACGTGTTTCAATCCGAAAGAAACAAATCTTTCCATCTTTCCAAACATGGCCATCGACGTGTGCCGGCTCACCCGACTGCAGCAGCTGTCCGCTTAATGGACGCCAGGGCGGCAATTGGGCCGGTGACTCCGTTCCCACAGCGTTTTTGCTGAGCTGTCTTTCCTTATGGCAATACCAACGGGGCTTAGTACTCTTCCCCGTAGCGTTATCACTAAGCCCCAAAGACCCTGCATCTTAAGGGTCAAACTGGTCTTGTTCGTAAATGATTCATCCTTCATAAACCTTAGTCTGAGTGCCACCCGACACTTTCATAATAAAACTTGATTACTGCTCTCCATAAGACCAGTTAATAATTATCTTCTCTCTCACGGTGAGAGAGAGGGTTAGCTAGCTAGCTAGCCACTTTCGAGTTCGAGTCGGGTGATCGGCAGCATCTGACGGTTCTAGATTCCTCTCTGCAAATTACAAAGTACCCAGCTGGCCATCCATACTAGTCAACTGCTCCTCATTAGACATGACACGACGCTCTGGAACGTTGTTGTCATTAGACTCCATATTTCTGTTAATTAACATACCGTGGGGTTGACGACTTCTTAGAGTGGTCTTGGTCTTGAAGGGTTCCAGTGTGCGTGTGTTGTGTGTGTACTCATCGAGGTTACGTATATCTCCTCAATAGTGCGTGTGCCTAGACCGTTCCCCATCATACCCTCTCTCCCAGTAGGAGGTAGAGATTATTACGGGTCGATTCGGGTCTCTGCAGCCACTCCGTCCGCCAGTTGATCGCGTGGCAAGGATGAGTGATCTCGCTTGCTTTTCTCCTGCTTGCTTAGTGATCGGGGTTAGTCAAAGGCGTTCGTTATCATTCCTTTTGCTTCGCTTGCATTAGTTGTCTGTCTACCTGGTATGTAATCAGTTATGAAATGTGCAGTGACTCAGATGGGGATATTTCGACGAGGTTAGGTTATGTAGGTGTTTGCGTCTGTAGTATGTACGTATTTCTCATCCTCTGTACTATTCTGTGGTCGCACAAGTAACACCTCGCCTGCATATGCAGGTTACGCAAAGAATAAAGTAGCCCTGGCAGCGAGGACACACACACACTCGTGCCGGGGAGTCCCTGGGAATCGGCCCTTGAAACATACAGGTCCTGCCATCCGGATTTCCCGATATAGTACACATCACATGGGGGATAAGGTTTTAGTCGTGCCCAGCCATGGCCGGCTATGACCAAGGGATAAGATCTTTTCTGCCTATGTAGAAGGTTTGGATGATATAAGCGATGGATTTGCTAACTAATTGTTTGATATTCGGTTACGTTCGACTCTATTTAAGACTATATATGTACGCTTCGACATTTCAAGGCCCAACCCAACAGTCCAAAGATACACGGTTAGGCAAAGCGGATGAAGCAATGGTAATCGTTCTCCGGATGGAATGAGGGATGTAGCTCATGGTGCAGAAGAGCTACAGCCCAATCTGTATCCGGTATTCCAGATGGTATATTAGACAGATCAGGATGGACAAGCACGAACAACAGAGAAACAGAAAGTAACGGAGTATATGAATATTGATGGGTATCACAAGTCATAAAAAGCAGGGCTGTCATAAAAGCCCGGATGAAAGAAACTCCACCTTCTCATCAATGCTTGTTGCGGGGGTTCCCTTTCATCTGGTCCTTCAGCTCTTCTTTGAAGTACTCAAAGAATTGACTCAACTTCGAAGCTAGAGTGAGGGGCAGGTTAGTATCAAATGATACTACACAGCTACCATGACCGGTTCACGGTATGGGCGAAGTTCATACCAGACTTTCCAGAGTCAGGGCCATGCACCTCTTCCAGTGGGACACCCGTCTTCAGGTGATGAACCTTGCGGTGAATTCCCCCAACCAATTTATGAAACGACCGGCTGGCCAGCAGCTATACGTGGCAACATGAGCATCAAGCTCAAGGACTAGATATGATCATACACCTACCCTAGAGGTAAGCCATTCCTGTATGAAGAAGACCGTTAGTATGGAGGGTTGTGTGCGAGATTCCAGACACAAGTGCCTCATACACACCTCGAGAGGCCGTAGCAGAAATGCGCTTTTGAGAAACGCCCGAAACATCTTCAATGTGGACTACGTAGATCAGGTGGGATCCGTGGCAACACAAGCTAGACTAAAGCTTGAGTGCAAAAGGGATGAAGCCAGCGCACCGTGGGGGGGCTGGTGAGAAGCGAAAGGGAGAAGAAAAAAACGCGTGGTTGCACCCTTGAAGAGAGAAAGAAAGGCGACAGTGAGGTCCAGCCACCAACTGAGTTAAGCCTGAGGCTGGTGACACAACTGGGAACTCCACCAATCAGAGGTAAAGGACACGATACTCCGCCCGCGGCAAAGTGTCTCGGAGAAAGCGATGATCCGGGCGGATTAAAGGGATGGAAAGTGGATAGATCGACCGCCTGAGGCCGACCATCATGGCTGACGATGGCCGGTTGGATGAAGATCTCAAGGCACCGCTGGAGATCTGAATCATGCCTCGGACGAAGCATGGCTCTGAATGGTGAATGCAAATACTCTTGTACTATCTGTTCCTGAGAGACGCTCTCCTGAATTACATCATTCTTTTGCCATCCCCCAACCCTTAACTAAAGCATGGAAGCCGTCGTAATGCGCAGTAGTAGTAGTAATAAAAATAATAATAAAAATACTAATAATCTCCTGAAGGGATCCATACCGTCTGGACCCCGAATAAATCAGAAGAAAAAGAAAATTACCAGGAATGAGAAGGATCTCTTCTTGTTCGATACATACTACAAACTCTGCTGCCAACCTGCCAGAGAAACATCTCCTATTCTAATATTTTTTTCTTGGCTGCCCATTTCTGCTTCTTTTCTCTTCCTTGTATAACCCATACTTATTCTATTAGTCCAAACCCACTCTCCTTAACAACCTCATTGTTCTAATCTATTTAATGACTTGACTGATTGGACTGCTGGCCACGTCCTGAGGTTAAAAGACCCCAAAAAGACGAGAGAGTGCGGGGAGAACAGCAATTGCCAAACGGTGTCGCGAGGGGGTCTTGCATCAAATACTTACTCTCCTTCTTTTCCTGCTGCTGGCCGGACCCTCTCGCCTGCTGTTTCCCCCGGGTCGCATTTTGTTGACGAGGTTATTACTTCATTTTCACTGACCCGGTGGTTCTCCCTGTTCGTCCATATTTTTTTTTTCTTTCTGATAATCACCCAATCATTTTTCTCCTCGTACACGTTGCAGGGGTTGTGGGCTGCACGAAGAAGTTGGCTGTCGGGTCTTGTCTGCCGGCCGAGTCATCTTCCATACTATTATCGACTGCCAGGCAGTCTTCCTATTCGGCCGCGCGTTGTTCCCGTGAGATCCAGAAATCTGGCCAAGCATAACATTACGTCGAGGGGCAGCTTCCACAGCTGTCCCGATCTGTCCACGCTACAGATATCATCCCTGCCGCATCCCCCCAACGGCGCGCACGAGGATCCGCCCGACGGCATCGAGGGGGAAGTCATCACTGCCCCAACCTCCCGCTCGCCCTCCCCCGATACCTTCAGTCTACGCAGCGGCCCCCGAAAACTCGCAGCGACTAAGAAGCGGGTCTCGAAGAAGGCGCGCGGCGTCCTGGGCAAGGTTCGGGCCTTCCAGAGGATCGCTGCGGCCAAGATGGCTCATCCCACCATCAAGATCGATACCAGCGTACAAGCGACCAAGCGGTCGCTTCCCGAGGATAATGACGATGGCTTCGAGATCATAGATGGTCCGGAGAACGACGATCCTGGCCTGGAAGCGCGCGATAATGAATCGGTTCCTCCATTTCTCTGCCAGTCGGTCCTAGGTCAGTATGCGCCCGCCTGGCACTTCACCCCGCTTGCTGCTTCTGGGTCTCCCAGTCGTTTCGGGCGCAGTTGAAGGAGTTGCACCTCTCTCAATATTGTCTACGGCCTGACTAATATATCTTTCTTGTGATAGAAATCCATCAAAAATTCGAGGAACTCGAATGGATGCAGCGGACTCGGATACACGAGGGGATGCTAGCCAACGACCCCTCACACCGTTGGGCGCTAGAGGGAGACCCCGAGGTCAGGGCAAGAAACCGATACGTGAACGTGCAGGCATGGGCCAACTCCCGCATCCATCTGCGGGTGCCAGAAGGGGAATGCGATTTTATTAACGCATCGCCGATTGTCCTCGAAGACTCAGTCTCGCAGGAGGAGCGACGGTATATCGCGACGCAGGTGGGCGCATATATTCTGCTGAGGGTTGAAGGATAAATGCTAATCCGCTGCTATGTAGGGACCGAAGCCGGACCAGCTATCCCACTTTTGGCACATGGTGTTCCATGAAAGTGAGGATGTAGGCGTCATCGTCATGCTCACGCAGACATTTGAGGCGGGCAGAGAGAAATGTGCCCAGTACTTCCCACTGGACCGCGAAAACGCCACGATGCCCCTGCGACGTGAGCAAGACCCGTTCATGAACGACAACCATCACCAGCAAGCCGATGAGGACCTTCTAGGCTATGTTACACTGCTCGAGACTCAATGGGATCCCACATCTCGCTCGGAAATCCGCAAACTTCGGCTCACCCTCGGCACCGAGTCGAAGATTGTCTGGCATTTTCTGTTCGCCGGTTGGGCGGACTATTCCAAGCCCGAGGGCGATGACCGCGATGCGCTCCTTCAGTTGATCAAACTGTCCGGTTCGAAATGCACCCCTGCTAACCCCCGCATTGTACACTGCAGTGCTGGTGTCGGCCGGACAGGCACGTTTATCGCGCTGGACCATCTTTTGCAGGAGCTCGAGTCCGGCCAGTTACTAGAGGCGACTGACCCCGACATCGACCCTGTCTTCGAAACGGTCAACCAAATGCGCGAGCAGCGAATGATGATGGTCTATAATGAGATGCAACTCCAGTTTATATACGAAGTCCTACGGGAGCAGACCGATCTCAAGCTCGGAAAGACTGCCGTGCCCAGCGGGCGCAAGTCGGATGAGAGGTCAACGAAGATGGCCAAGTTGTCAACCGACGACAGCTACCGACCATCTTCCAAACCTGAGCTCGAACCTGCTGACGATCACCGATCTACTCCTACCCGGAGCTGGTCGGGCACCCCCGAGGTTTCCGATAACGAATGAGGCTAGGGACGACCGGTTCCGGTCTCAGACAACATTATTATATTACCTTCCCTCGTACATATATAACATTCTAATCGCCTATTGATGTTTTTCTTTTGCCATGTTTGTCGTTTTTTCTTTTTGCCATGACTAGTTACGAGTTCTGACCTGCATCTTCAACATGCATTCTTTGCCCTTTGCGCCACCCTGCATACTATGTTTCAGTATACGACCTGATGCTTTTATTACTTCAGTGCCCAGGATGCTTACACTTTCATAAGCAAACCGTCCTGAACATTGTCATCCGAAGCTGATGTGCTTACTCCCGCGCGATTCTCTCTCTTCAGCTTTTCATTCTGTTTTCCCCCCTAGCATTAGAACTGGTGTACCATACTGGACTTGTGGATCTGCCTGGAAATGAATAACGATGCATCTGTTCATACGCGTGCCCTGAAAGGTCCTCTCTTACACACCCTACCAGAATACTACCTATCACCTGATCAATCAACCACTCAATATAAAGCAAAGCGTTCTTATACTATTAAACGGGAAACAAAACTCCCCCCTCCTCATCTCTGTTATCCTATGTACATCATAATTCCCACGGAGGGGTTTATAGAGCAAAAACCAGAACCAGAACCAGGAGGAGTAATAAGAATAGAGATAGCTAGATAGTTAGGGTTCGTAGAGGAGAGACGCAGAAGATATAGAGAGAAAAAGAAGAAAAGAAAAGAAAACCACAAAACAGAATGTAGACGATCAACTCAAAACGCCGGTAGATAACGGGTCGGGTCATGACACGGTCGTAGCGAGAGTAGTAGTAGTAGCAGGTGTGAATAGATAGATAGGTATGGTAACATTTTCCATTTCCTTTCTTTCGTTTCGTTGCCTTTCTTTTCTGCGTAGCGTAGTATAGCAATCGTCGAAGCGGGCGGGGTACAGATAGTCTTCCCTATCATGTGGAGGATGGGTTGGGATTATATCGGGGTGTCGCGGAGGGGCGATTGGCAGATAGAGAGTGTATGCAATGTAGAGAGCGACAGGTGGTGGTGAGCGCATCAACGCCATGTAAGCGTATACGTCGCGATCATATGGTGGGCAGCAATGTCATTCTGCTGGGTGAAGCGGACTTCACGGCCCGAGAGACGTGCAAAGCATGATAGAATATAGGTAGCTAGCGAGAAGGCGCAATAGCCATAGATCTAGCTAGCTAGCTAGCTAGCTAGAATGCGACTTAATCACTCCGCTTCTTCCCATCTTCAGCGGGCGACGTCCTCTTGGAGGTATCAACGGCCAGATCTCCGGACTCGTCCTCCTCATCCCAATTATCGACAGCGTTCTCATCCCAGTTATCTACCTCCTGCTCTAGGCTCATAACACCTGTCTCCTGGGGTCCAAGACCCTCCTCGTCGTCGCTGTGGTGGCCCGTCACTCCGAGCTCGACATCATTCTCTGTGCCGTCGCCGCCCAGGGAGCCGAAGCGCGCCTTGCGTCGCCGGTCGAGCATGCGCCGGTGGTACCAGCCGCAAAGGCCGACGGCGCCGAGACTGCCGACAATGTTGGCGAGAAGGTCAAAGGCATCGAAGGACCTGCCGTTGGGGAGGAGACCTTGGATGATTTCGGAGCCGATGCCGAGGACGAGAGTGCAGACGATGAGGGTTAGGTGGAGGGTGCGACGACGGGTGGTGTCGAAGATCCAGTAGAAGACGAGGGAGAGGAGGAAGAAGGTGACGACATGGAGGAACTTGTCATTGGGTTGGAGTTGGGACGGAAGAGTGGATGATGTGCTGTGTGGGAGGAGGCCGATGTAGGCGGCGAGGATGAGGAGGAAAAGAAAGGCGCCTGGTGAGAGTGTTGTTAGTGGTACAGATTATGGTGGTATTTTGGTATTAGTTGGTGTTGTGTGGGAAGCTGGTGAAGCTCTTGATGTAATCGGATGATTAGGTATCATAGAGCTTCACTTTTGGCTTCGGAAGAGGGTGGAAACGGGTGGGAAGAGCTCAATGGATGGGGAAGATCGGGGGGAAAAGACATACCCGCGAAAGGGTATCGGATTCGCATGATGGGCGATCTGGAAGGAGATGATTACGGGGAGGGAGTGTAGAGAGAGGAGGGCGTAGAGGGAGAAAAGAAAAAGGCCGGAAGAGGGAAGACTGGATGATGAAGCGATGAAGATGATGGCATGTCATGTGGTTTAGTTTACTTTACGATACAGACAGACAGACAGCTAGAGACGGCGCAGCCTCAGGCTGAAACTGGGGTTTATTGTGGTTGAAACATCCTCGGGAAACTCCCTGCCATTCCTTCTTCTTTTCTTGTCCTCATCGAGGCTGAGTGTTGCTTGTTCCCCCGTTCCCAAGTTCAATTCATTGAACGGGTTATTGCTTGCCTTGTTTGATTTTATTCTATTATTTAATATTAATGCGGATTCACTTTTTGTCGGCTCATTCCTTTTTGTCATTAGTGTTATTCTGTCTCATTATTATTACTATATCTTCCCTTCACAACTACTACTAGTTACTCTGTTAGTTGCTTTGCTTTGCTGCTGCTGCTGCTACTGCTGGAGTCAACGAATTGCGCGGTTGGTCTGAAGCTGCGGTCGCCGTTCCGCCTTCACGCAACCAACTTCATCTCATCCGTTCGCGCAGAGAACCTTATAAAGAAGCCCTCCAGTCCCCCATCAAATCCCCCCACTATTTCATCACTTGGGGTCTCCAAATCATCGTCCCTCATTTCTTGACCCCTGTACCCTAATGTATATGTCTTTTTCGGCGTCTCAAAAGACCCCCTTGTACCTTAGCTGGAACTGATCCGAACCGTGGAGAAACGAGCCCCCCTCGCCCGCCCCAGAACCGGGGTCTTGGAGCGAGCATGTCGCTCGGACACCACCACGCCTGGCTCCCCCCAGGTCATCTGCGCCCGCCGGATGATTTCCATGATGCGCGGTCTGTCAATGGCTATCCCAAATCTTTTTCCGGTTCGCGAACCCCCCAGATGCGCGCTTCGGCCGACGCCGACGGGTCTCACGCGGGCGGTCTGATATCAGATGCCGATATTGCAGGCGACGAGGACCCGCGCATCGCCATGTTCCGGGATCTGTACAAACGCAGTGAGGCGCAAATAAATGCTCTCTTTGCCAACCAGAAAGCTGCCGAAGATGCCCGCCCTGCCAACGATTCCGACGAGTCCCAACCCGAGAGCCAACGCGCCGACGAACCCGCTCCGCCCCCGGCGCCCCCCAAGAAGCCCGCCAGGAAGTTAGATGACGATGACTACGATGAGTATGACGACGAAGATGACGCTGAAGATACCGAAGCCGCATCTCCTCCTAAGCCCAAGTCTCTCGCTGCCTCTCAGCTACCTAGTAGCTTCCCATCGCCCAGCCGACCGCCCAGCGGCTCCGTGTCGGTCGGGCCCGATGCGCAGAAGGAGCCCAAGAAGGAGACCTTGGAGGATATCCGCAAGAAGCTAGAGGAAGATAAGAAGGCGACCGAGGAAGCTGCTAGGAGAAGTTTCCACACACTCTTTTATACTTTAGAGAATGATAGAGATGCCATGTTGGACCAGCAGCGGCTAGAAGAGTCGGAGCGACAGGTAGAAGCGGAAATGTCGGGTCAGGCGAATGCGGGCAACAATGCGAACCCAACCTCCAATGGATATGGGTCGCTGAGTAGCGCGAACCTGGGCGCCTCGAGCCTGACCCTCAAGAACCTGATCGCAAGAATTGACATGAAGCGGAGTTTGGTCCAAGCATCTGACGCGGAACTCCGAAGCCTGATGAGCGAGGTTCGTAAGAACCGTAGTAAGTGGGCTAGTGAGGACAAGATTGGCCAAGAAGAGCTGTATGAAGCTGCAGAGAAAGTGCTTAGTGAGCTCAAGGCGATGACTGAGCATTCAAGCGCCTTCTTGACTCGGGTGAATAAGCGCGATGCGCCTGACTACTATACAAGTAAGATACCCTGACGGACGAAGAACCACGCCGTGTGTCTCTTTGCTGACCCCTGCGCTAGTTATCAAACATCCGATGGATCTAGGAACCATGACGAAGAAGCTGAAAGCGCTGCAATACAAGTCGAAGCAGGAATTCGTCGATGACATCAATTTAATATGGTCGAATTGCTTCAAATACAACACCAACCCAGAACACTTCTTGCGCAAGCATGCTTTATACATGAAGAAGGAGACGGAGAAGCTCGTCCCTCTGATTCCAGACATCGTCATCCGAGACCGCGCCGAGGTCGAAGCAGAAGAGCGCCGACTGCAGATGGCCGAAATGGATGGCGCCGAAGAGAGTGACGACGAACCGATCATGTCGTCCCGTGGTCGCAAGGCCCCCGGCAAGTCATCATCGAAGAAGGGCACTGCGCCTGTTCGAAATACTCCCAGTGGATCGGAGCCTCCTGGTCAGAGCTCTCAGCCTCCGGGGCCGGTCCGTTCGGATTCTGATGTTGTGATGGAGGGGACTCAGAACGGGCTTGTAACGCCGCCGCCTGGCACACAAACGCCATCTGACCCTGCGGGCGTCAGCTCTGGTGTACCTGGAAGCCAAGGTGATGCTATGGACATTGATGGGTTAGTCCCGACAAGCACCGCGCTGAGCGCATTGCCCGCGTCTGGTGTGGATTCCGAAGATCCCGAATACAAAGTCTGGAAACAGGTGACGAAGAAGGATCGCGCCCTCATTGCCGCAGAGAGGCATCGTCTCTTCAAAGGTGACAAGCTCAACTCCGATGAGCCAGCATTGCTCCGTACCAAAGCGGGCATGCGGCGGTGGATCAGAAACCAAAAGCATAATCTTGCAGAGAACGACAAGGCGCGCGAGTCAACAGGACAAGGCATGGAACCTGGCGCCGCGGGTGAAACGCTCGCAGAAGGCATTGAAGTGGATGAGGATCGAGTGATCCCCGACTATTACGATGTCATGTCAGGGGTTCCCGATCTACCCTCTCAGCTACTCTGGAAGGAAGACTCAGACGGCAACATTGTGGATGCGTCCGAAGAGTTTTTGAGGATCCTCCCGCAAGGCTCATTCACTCAACCAGATAGTAAGCTGGCCCGCAAAATGGATGCAAACATGCGCCAAATGCAGGAAACGCGAAAGGTCTGCTCGAAGATCGGCATCGTCAAGCAGATGCAACTGCAGTCTCAGGTAAGCGATCTCTCGAATCATAATTTCCCTTGTCTAACCCTCCAAAGATGTACCAGAATCAGTTCCAGAAATACCAGCCGGAACCCTTCGTCGAGCAGGATGTGTCACCACATGTGATGAATGACGGGGGTCCTGTCATTGCTCCTTGGGTTTGCAAAGCGGCCTTGCAGCGTTCCGTGGCGAAGATCTTCTACCACACTGGCTTTGAGGAGTATCAGCCTTCGGCCCTGGATGCAGTGACTGATATTGCCTCCGACTTCTTCCAGAAGATCGGCGAAACCCTGAAGTCGTACATGGAATCCCCGAAAGTCCCGACTACCGACGCGACCGAGGCGACGGGTACAGCTCAGTGGAAGCGAGCGTACACGGAGCCGGAGATCGTACTACACACTCTCTCATCTGTTGGCATCGATGTAGAGTCTTTGGAGTCGTACATTAAGGACGATGTGGAGCGGCTCGGGACGAAGCTTTCGACAGCTCATGACCGGCTGCGCTCGCTGCTGTCCGAGCTCCTGCGACCTGCACTTGCAGATGGCGGGGAGGATGGCTCCAACGCATTCCACGATGGCAGTGAACAGTTCATCGGCGGTGACTTTGCAGAAGATATCGATGAGGACTTCTTCGGGTTTAAGGAATTGGGGCTGGACAAGGAGTTTGGTCTGGCCACACTCAGCGTGCCACTTCATCTCTTGCAGAACAGGATGTACAACGCTGCGCAGGCACAGAACACCAGGTATGTTTCTCTTATTATATTGATTATTGCTTGTTTGATACTGATGGGTTTTTGCAGTGCTGCCCAAGCCGTCACTCTCTTCCCCCCGCCCGCTCCCTACCCTCGCATCACCAATGACTCTCTCGCTTTGCAAATTGGGTTGGTTCAAGAATTCTTCAGCTCTAAGCTCCAGGCAAACAACAATGAGCCTTTGGTCGAAGATCTTGAACTACCGCCGAAACAACGACCCATGGCCGCGCGACCCCGTCTGCCCGCGTCTGGCAAGATCC